TATTTTATAATAAAAGAGGAGCCCTGGTGGGGTAGTATTGGGCTGCCATCTGCATGGTCAGCAGTTCAAAACCACCAGCATCTCCATGGGAGAAAGGCTGGGCTTTCTACTTCATGTTGTGATGACCACTTACTTCCTGTTTTCCTGGAGCTTCCCCCTCCCCCTGCACTTGTGGGTTACCAAGGCTATGAACCTTTCAGGGATTAGAAAGCATTATCTTTCTCCCATGACAGAAGCCTATAATGAGCCAAATATTGATTAAGGGCTAATAATCCTAACAATGTACTAGAGGTGCTAGACCATGCGGTAGCTAGGCAAAGGAAGAAATGCATAGAGTGTGACAATAAGTAAAGGAAATTCCTTCTCAGATTAAACATTAGCTACGTAGCAAAGCACACAGAATGTACAATAACATTATCCTAAGTACTGAGTTTAGCAATTTTCCAATAATAGTCATCCTGAGAAGGGAAATTAGAAAACAATCAAATTCTAGGTCCCAACAACTTACAGCGGGAACCCAACACTGCCCCGGGGAAAGCCCATTCACTGAGCACACCCTAAAACCCAAAGACCTTGGGTGGCAGAGATAAAGGACTCTGGTGTCTTTTGGACTCCCACTGTGAGCTTCCAGGTCCTTGGTAATGACCTTCCAGAGGCGCTGGCATCTACGTCCTTTGGTGGGAATCATCTGGTCTCCATCCCATGGAGTCATGCTGGGATTGGCTCTGGCAGAGCCCAGCTTCGGCCAGAATGGCCACCAGGATCAGCAAGATCACAACGGAGAGGCCCAGACGCACACAGTTCCCCACCCAGTAGTCCTGGGAGGCGGCAGCTAGAAACAGGAATGGGAAGTCACTGTCAGGTGCACATGACCATAGCAAGTATGACCCTTGAAGTAGGATCTCTTTGCCCATTTTCCTGGCCAGACTCTGTCCCCACCCAGTCCCAGGGCAAAGTTCCAGTGTCTTACTTGTCTTGGATTTGGCATCTGTGAGTTCTGTGGGAGAGAGACAGGTGTTACCAGTTGTTCCTAGGAAGACGAACTCCCTGCCATCAATCAATCCTGACTGGTAACAACCCTATAAGTCAGTACAGAACGGCTCCTGTAGGTTTGTAACTCTCAGGACTCTGAAAGCACTGGGGGAAATCGGGCGCAGCCTTTACTGTCCACTGCTCAGCCTACTTTCAGTTCATGAGCACTTCTTATGACCTTTCTTGCATCCTGCTACGCCTGTACCCATGTCCCCTGGCTCTATTCCACACCTCCCTGTCCTGCAATTCCCTGATGTTTACCCCTCATATTTCACAACCAGTCAACGAGAAAGCCTCAGCAAGCCAGGAGAAGTTGAAAATCTGAGCTCTGCTGTGGTTGGCAAGTCCTCCATAAATCCCATCGTGCCTCAGAACATTGGCGATGGGGAGGGGGGCCATGAAACCAGGGCTGGCCATCAGCACGCAAGGGAACAAGGACTGGAGCTCCTCACCTGGTACTGTGATCTCCAGGGGGTCACTTGGGTGTGAGAGCAGGTAGGGAGAGGTGTGTCGTGAAGCATAGCACCTGTAGGTCCCCGCATGGGTCAAGGTCACAGGGCTCATGGCGAAGGTGCCATGTTTCCACCGACCTTGGAACTGGATTCTCATATACAGGAGGGGACCCGCTGCCCCATCCTTGGACAGAAAGAATGTGTCCACTTCCTTCGACGATGTGCACTGCAAGGTCACGTTCTCTCCTGAAACCACTGTGTGGCCTGGCCTAAGCCAGAAGTAGGGTGTGTAGGGGAGAGCTCCTACAGAGAAGGAAGGTGAGGGTTGGATCATGGTCACTTGGCTCACAGGTGAGAGTCCATCAGATGCTTACATGGAGGACCTCTCAGGCTTTCTGTGAGACCCTCACTCTCCCATCCCCACCCCTGCCTCTTGCTGTGATCTCTCTCTCAATCTCTCCCTCTCTCTCAATGCCTCACCCTTCATCCCCAGCAGCCACTCCCTGGGACATGCAGAGTTTGTGTAGTTACAGCACTTGGCAGGGTGGAGAGGGAGGGTTTATGGTAGACTCCTGAAACAGAAGGAGGCAGGTGTGTTACCCGGGGCTCACAGATCACTCCATATCATGCAGGACGGGGAAGGGAGAGGGCAGACATTCTCCCTGAGAGGCAGATCCTAAGGCTGGGTCCCTGAGGGCCCTCTCATCTGTCATTATCAGATCTAAGGTGTCACTGGGTGCTGACATCCCAGTGTTGCTGAGATGGTAACTGCGATATCACCCTGTGCAGTTCACTGCCACTTGAGGAATTAATTAAAAATAAAAAAGAATGAAGAACATGTTCTAAATTCATGGGGGTCTTTTTTGTACAACCCTTTTCAATATGGTTACACCGTTAAATTGGAGAGAATATGAATTACATGTCAATAACATTTTCTAAAATAAATTTAAAATAAAATTCTGCCCTGAGACAAATTTGCACATAAGAAACAATATTTTAAACTTGTCTTAGAGAGTGAAATACAGCTGGTAGAGAAAAAAAAAATCTAATGATCTGTAAAGAAAAAGCGTAAACCAGCCCCTTCTCATTATAGGCCTGTGTGCATTTGAAACCATGTGAGTGTATTATAGTCATTAGGTGAACAAAGCAAGGTTTTACAAGGCAACATTAATTTTCAAAGTTGAATTGGGGACGATAGCATACAATTGGGGTTATCAGAGCAGGCACAGATGGACATCATCAGGAGTGAGCATGTGCAGACATCTCTGTCTCCCTGCCTCCCACACATCACGGCCCTTCCATCTTCGCCCACATTCTATTCAAACCCTCTCTCCTCCGCCATCTCTGCCTGAATATTCAAGCTTGCTATGCCACAGGGGTGAACGGCTTTGCTTTATTTGCCCCTTCTAATAACCTGCATCCTCCCCCAGTCACAAAAACCGGTCCAATCACCAAGAGAAGGAAGAGTTTTAAGAGGAATTCCTCATCTAGTGCCAGGGTCACCAGGGGCTCGCTGGCATGTGACAATACATGTGGAGAGGTGCTGAGTGAACTACAGCACGCGCAGGTGCTTGTGCTGTGTCAGCTGAGGTCACAGGGTTCCTGGTGAAGCGGGCCTGTTTCAGGTGGCTGTGGTCTTGAGATGTCAGGGGCACGGGCATACTGGCTTCCTACCACTGCCACAGTGAGGTGTGCACTGGGTTCGTGAAGGCCACTGTAAAGTTGGGGTCTCTCTTGAGGGTGCTGAATGGCCTGGGGATCCCGCAGGGTGATTGTGTCCTTGCGCTGTCCTAGAGAGGAGCAGAAATGGGGGTGGGCTGCCAGGATCTACCAGGTGTTTAGGCTGGGGGCCTCTCCGACTCTCAGTCTGTGGTGGTCTCTATTGTCTCCCTTCCTATCCCAGTCTCTTTCAGTGTTTCTCCTCTGTGCTGACTCCACACTGCAGGTTTGCCGCATTTACCCCCTGGACTCTAGGGCCTAGAGCTTCCAATGGAGACCTGCGCTGAGTTGACACCTTGGAGGAAGCCATCGAGGGCTCCTCACCTTGGACCAGGATGCCCACAGTCACTCTGGGCCGGACACTCTCCTGACAGCACTACGTGTGAACCGGCCCTCGTGGGGGATTGGCCATAGAGAAGTAGGCATGGGAAGGCTCAAGGAGGGAGACACCCAAGGGGTTGGAGAAAGAAAATGTTCTCATTCTTGCACAGAGCCACTGTGCCCTATCTGACATCAGAGCTACCACTGAGGGTCAGTCAGACTCTGGAGAGGACACGGATGGGTCCTGCTGGGTCAACAGAGAGGGTTTGCTATACAGTCGGCAGAAAGACAGGAGACATGTGAAGAACATGGCTTTGCCAAAAAT